TTAATAACTATTAAACTACTTTACTTGACTGTAGAAAAATAGCAATTTGATTACACTTTTCTATTTTAGATCTCATAGAAGTATGCAATAAAATCTGGAAACAGTTTTGTAATATAATATGTTACACACATTATATTTTAGCAGACGGGAATCTGAATTTTACAGATTCTTATATTACTTGGCGCAGCTTATTAAGAACTTGAATTCAATCTATTTTGTCTTGCATAGTTTTATTTAAATGACTTAATCATAACTACAGTAGCAAAATGCAAAAAAATTTCAATTAAAAATGAGTAAAACGAAAACATAATGCAAATTATGTTTTGCATTGCAAATTTCGTTAAAAAAAATTTTTGATGTAAATTTAAACTACTTTAAATAATAATAATCAGAAATTAAATTGTCTCTAAGTAAGTATATATAGGGTTATGTTAATTTTAGACCTAAATTCAACCTTGAAACAATAGTTTAATGATTTCAACTTATGAATGCATTAAAATAATTATTAATTGTAGCGAATATTCATATTAAGCTCAAATGTATTCATAATATATATAGTAGTGTAATATTGAAACACCTGTTCAATGTCATTAAATGTACTTAATATATATACTCGTTTTTAATTGTTGAATATTCAGATTAAAAAAAAATAACTTGTGTAAAGTGTGTTATAAATATTCACGATTTATTTTGTAATATGATTTTATAGACCATCATTTTACTATAAGTATGCTTTCATTATTCAAAATTTTTATTAAAAAAAAAAATTGTAATAACTCCAATTTGTACTATAAATTGTACAACATTATTATTTATAACCATACAATTTCATATAAAATATACATACACACAAACATACATACTTCTAGTGCAAAGCGAATGCAATATGATTACGTGGTGATAATTTATGCATATAAAAAATAAATTAAAATCTTATGATATTAATCGCGGTCAACTATTCTGTAAAACTAATTGTTAATAAAAATTTCTTCATATACAATTTATTATTTAATGAAATGTTTATCTTTACGATCATTTATTGCTATACATTATACATACACATATATGTATGTATATATACATACACTAATGAAGTTATTTATATTACATTTGGTATTTACATATTATATTAAATAGTGAATTCTATTGAACATCTGGAATGAGATTTTAAAAATAAAAGCAGTGACATAAGTGATTCACTGTCTACTAATCTCTATAAGTTTAAATTTATTTATTGAAAGCGTGTAGTTGAGCACGTTTTTTAAAAATTATTATGTGTGTTTTTTTTTAATTTTATTATCGTATTGTTGCTTTTTATCTCGAAAACGTCTTTTATAAGATTTAAATTTTAAATTATTTTTTATATATTTTTACACTTATATTACTTATTTAGTAATATACTTTTTGTTTTACCTTTTTTTTTTTGCATGTAGTTCCTACATTCGCATGATTATTAATTTATTTTACCATATAAAGGGTTTGTAATACAATATGGAAATGATGTTGGGACATATGAAGAAGTTTATATGCAATTTTCTTGAATCCGGCTCGTGTTTGAAATTCATGTTAAAAATTAATTAAATTATATAAATATACACTTTCGTGAAACATTAAAAGAATTGAATTTGTTGATAAATTTTAATATTTTAAAAGTAAAATCATTGCTTTCTTGCTTGTCCCTGTTTTTTTTTTTTTGTAACCTAAATAAAATAGTTTGGGTTATAGTAAATGTGGGAGTTAAGTGATAATATTGTTGACTAATTGCACTGGCCTTGCAAAGTCATCAGGCATCTTTCACAAAAAGTTAAAAAACTGTAAATTTGCGTATATATAAGTTGATCCTCCTTCAATATTATTATATATAAAAACCTCCTTTAATATCTACTCATTTAATCAAGCCCCTTTAATCAATTAGTATGGTAGTAGTAGTTGTAAGAGAGGAGGGGACCACCTTTCCACCCAAGCGAAGTCTATGCACTGAGCCAATAAAAGGAACCATCGGCAACATTAATTAACACACGAGAACCCCTATGCAATACGAACCTCTCAAAACCATCTACTGGAACCAATTAACCGCGTCAAAAACTTTATCGATAGGCTCCACGAATACGCTTCCTGCTCCACATTAGAGATGTCCTCCACCTCCGCAATTCCCTGCCAGTCCCATTAGACTTCCGTTGTAGTGTCTGCTTCTTGGCCATTTTCCCTAAGAGGCAATGCCATTCAGCACCACCACCAATATGCTGAGATCAGCGCTATCGTATTCCAACAACACCTTAGTCCTCTTCTTATTCCCACAAGGCAACAGTGCTCAGGCAACCCTGCATGTGCGAGCCCCCAATTATAAAACTCAATTTAAATTTTGAAACTGTGCGTTTTTTTATATGGGATGGGGTGGGTACCAAATACCTTTTCATATAGCACAAATCTAAACTGTATTATGCATACTAATTACGATCTTTATTAACTCATACAAATATTTATGCATCTACGTTACGTCTGAAGGGCATTATAATTAATTTACCATTATAGAAGTTGAATTATGTCAAAAAAGATGCTTTTAACAAAGCAAAAAAATCTTACACGTTTTTTCCTCAACTATTCGATAATTATTGAATCATTGTTAAATCAAACAATATAAAAATATCTAATGGTGTATAATATAATTAGGCTGCCCATTTTTTTTTTTAACAGTGCTATACTAATTGTTTATTTATTTTTCATTAACCATTGGCTACGGAAGTTTTTATAAATAAAAAAAAAATATTAAATATTATATTTGAAAATTTTGAATTCTTTACTAAAAATTTAATAATTAATACAGTATGAAATTTTACTTTAATTCGTTAATTATAGGTTTCTTTAAAAAAAATTCTTTACTTCATTTATATATATTTTAGAAAATAACTTAAAATTATTATATTTGAGATTGTAAGAGGAAATAAGCCAATAATATCTTTAATACTTGAAAATCTCCACATACTTTCAAACACAAACTTGTAAAAATAAAAAAAAAATTCTTATTTATTTTTATTGTTACATAATTGATATATAATAAAAATTTCTATAATTATTGTGATCGAAGCATAAATATTTTATGTATGTATGTATGTGCTCCGAATCAAATCAAATCGTGACTTATTACAAAAACAACATTCTCGAATCATAATTAAATTATAACCTAAGGCGCCGGCTGTAACAAAAAAACACTCTTATGAAACCCAAATACATAAAAGAAAAAAAAATTTTATTACCTTCATATAGAATTTGTCATGCTCAAAATATTTAGACACAAAAATTGTTACACAAGTTCAATTCATATTTAAATAAGAATGGCAAAATTTGTAATAATAGACACACTGTTTTCAATTCCGGTTTCAGGTGACAATTTTATTTTCTATTTTAAAGTTTAAATGCACGCAATTGTTGTGTTTTCCGATTAAATTCCAAATTTTAAAAATAAATTTTCTAGAATTTCTAAAATTTAAATGAATTCGTATTCAATTTGAAAAACTATTTTGTTGTAATCACTGTTAAAACACATACGAGTATTATATACTTACTAAATAGCGATTTCGACCTACATCAATAAGTGGATAAAATAAAAACATTAATTAAAGAATTATTTATTTTGAAAATTAACTTTTAAAATTTTCAACTGGATTCCAATAGATTCATATTTAATTAGTAATTCGGGCACAAAAATAAATTTTATATAATTTTAATAAAAATGAATAAAAGTGTAGGACGAATTCAAAATATCTACAACTTTATTTAATTAATTTATTGGAATTTGAAAAATAAATAGATAATTTTTTTGTGAAAACCAATTAAGTGAGAAATTATTGAAATTACAATGAAATAAATCAATAATTACACATGTTCCAAATTTATCTAGAATACAATTGAAGTAAAATAAAATTTGTTTGAAATTGGAAAAATGTAATCAAATATTATCCAAATTTTAAAATGGAAATTTTGAAAATTTCCATGAAATTGCTTTGAATATTGAATGTATACATAATTGAGTTTTCATTCTCGAAAACAGAGTCAGAAGACACTATATATATCATATAATATTAGGGATATTTAAATAATTCTGTGCCCCATAATAATAAATTGGTACCGGTGGAATATCGATATTTCGTATTTATTTTCCAGATTGAGTTTACAGAGAAATACAATACTTTCGTTAAAATTGTTTAACACTTATTAGCACACTAACACATTATTACTGCAAACATTAATTGCGATGAAATTCGAAGCTTGCATAGCATCATTTCATAGTTTGAATTGTTTTTCAATATGAATTTGAGTTCTATCCTCAGTACGTTATTTTAAAGGTATTACGCAAATATTTAATATGGCAATTTTTTTTTATTCACATCTATTCTTTATCTACAAAATTAACATTATAACAATAAAACATTGTAACTGGAATTAGGTTGCAAAGATTGTTATTCAAATGAATAATACTCAAACTTGAGTAAAATCTTTAGAAATGCAAGGATTCGTGAAAAATTTTGAAAAAATGGAAAATTAAATGAAAAATAATTACGTCCTTAAAATTTGAATGCATTTTTCGATTAACATTCCATCATTCTTCAATAAAATAGCCATCATCGCATATTTACCATATATTTGAATTGAATATATTGAAAATGACAAATGTACTTGTCAAATTCGTTGACAATGCAATATTTAAAGGCTATCACATAATAGGCTATCTCCATATTTTCAACACTCATAATTGATATACCCTATGTATATACCGTCATATATATGTGTTTAATTACAAGTTTTACAATTTTTGTATGGGTACAAAATCGTGTGTAACACTGACACTATTAAGTATTGCAAGTTTATAATATTTTTTAGGTTTTAATTATAAATTAATTTCAATTTCTTTAAATTTAATTTTAATTCCCTCTTCTTTTTTCTTTTTAAATAAATTTTAATTCAATAAATTATTTAACCTTCTTCTTTTTTTATATTTTCAGATAAATGAAAAGGAATTGTCAATAATATTTTAATAATGAATATTTTCATTTAATAATAATTTCAAAGAGTAATTCAATTACACATATTTACCTTAAATAACATAGAAAATAACCTTTAAGCTGAATGAACTCATAAAATTTGGAAAATAAAAGTAAATATTCAATAAATTTCGAAATATATGAATTAAATTTGTAAAAAACGCAAATGACCAAATCCAAAAATAATTATATAAAACGTGTAATAAATAAAATTAATTTTTATAGTACAATTGCATATATTACAACATAATAACCATCAAATCCGACAATATTAATTTAAAATTCAAAAGACGATTCAACTAATATAACACACGTTCACATATTTATGAATACAAAATGCACGAATATTTAATATACTTTTATACGGTTTTGTATGTTATTAGATCGCGAATATCAAATTGATCACGTACATTTTAATAAACTCGATCGTATTGTAGAATTCAAATAGATTGCATTAAAAATGCTTTGAACCATGGCTATTATTAAATGTACATGTATATACTTACATATAGGAATTATAATTTGTAACGGTAAACTGTAATTGATTAATTGTCAATTACAGATAATTTTTATTCGCAAATCAACAAATCTTCAATCTTATACAGAAAATTTTAATTATTGCAACTGCAAATGTATAAATAAAATTTTTGTATTATTGTTATTATAAAAAAAATCGTCTTTGTAACAAAAACTTTTAATTGTTAATTTTATCAATTTTTGTTTTTCTTGAATATTATATAATATACGTTCATGTTCATGTAATATGTTTTTAGTCAAATCCCGTGACCAACATTTTATTTTTTATTACTTCAAATTATTATTTGGAATATTCATATTTACATGCATATGTATATACGCCATATATATGTATGAATGCATGTACATTAAGCAACATATTAAGTAGTTACATTGATATTTTTTTTTCCTTAAATACAATGCACTTGTTGTTAAAACAAATGCGTTAATTATTACCAAATTTACAAATCAATCAACGTACCAACCATTATTATTTTACAGCCAAGTAAAACTATATTATATTCATTTTACAATTTTATTATTATTATACCGGTTAAAAAAAAATAGTACAAGGTAACATTGAAAAACCAACCATATAGAAAAGAAAACGAAAAACAAAAATAAATAAACAAAGAATTTAAAGAAAAGAGCAGAAAATAAAGAAAAAACAAATTAAAATTTATTAAAATTAAAGTTGAAAAAAAAATATTACAATTGGTAGCAATTTATAAGACTGACTATACAATTAAATACAAGAAAAAACCAAAATACAAAAAAAAAAAAAATTCATATACACGCAGTCAATGAATTCTACATGCTGTTAAAAAAGAATGTTAAAATTATGTAAAATTAACGCTTGCCCAAATGGAACACTTGGTATACATTTAAGTCGTGCTCCATATGATCCTTATCCATGGGTAAGTGGTGTTTTAGAAAATTCAAGTGCATATCAATCTGGTATTAAAATTGGTGATACTGTATTGGAATGTAATGGTATTGATGTATTAGGATGGAAAATATCAGAATTAGCAATTAAAATACGTAATCATTGGGATTGTGGCGGTAAAACAGTAAATTTTTTAATATGGCGAAGTAAAAATGATGTAAGTATTAAATTGCACAATTAATTTTATTGTAATTATGTATTGTTTATGAAAATGTTAATAAATTCAATAAATTAATTTACTATTCAATTATGTATATCAAAAATCTAAATTTAATGTTAAAAATTTAATATCAAAATACTCGTCTCATGTAAAAATGCTGATTTCATACTTCTCTCAACTCTGTTCAATCAGCAATACATAACTTTAGCTGCAGTTGAATGACTTGGTAAATTTTACCAACATCTTGCAATAATAGCAATTTGCCTTAACTATATATAAGAATTAAATTTACCCCTTGCTAGACGCCTTATTATTTAGTAATTATTATTTTTGCATATCGTATTTTCTGTGATAAATCAAATTGTGTTTATAAATGCAAACACAATATTTAATCAATCAAATTGTAATGACATATAATTTTCTTTCAATCAGTTTTTCTATTTTTCTATAACCGTGCATTAAAACATGCTTTTCTATCATTAAATAAATTAGAAAATTAGGTGGCACCATAACACAGTAATTGAATTGCAATAAAAAAATAAATTTAATGTACAAAAGAAACGATATTTTAAAAAAGTCAATGAATACTCGAGTACTTAAAAACGCATGCATACGAGTGTATGTAAATTATATAGCAAAATGTAAAATGACAATTAACTAAAATTAAATTTTTACAGATTTTGTTTTTGTTCAACATTAACTTAAAAAAATTACCTTGGTCTATTGAATAGTCTTTCAAATATAAATTGTGATTATATAAAAATACTCGTAATTTCACAAATTAAATTTAATATTTATTATATTGGATTTCATTTTATTAACTAGCATTTGATTTGTAAATTAGTAGATTTACATTAGATTTCCATGTGGTGAATATTTTTAAATTGAAAAATGTTATTACAAATTGAATTGTCAATTTTAATTCTAATTAAATAATGACAATGTTTTTTCAGTTTATTAGTTACGAGTATTATTATAAGATACCCAATTTTTCAAAATTTATTCATTATTGTTTCATATTTTTGAGAAATTTAGCATCTGAAACTATGGACTAGCAAGTTGTATATAAAGTCTATTATTTACTAATTAATTTTTACAGAAAATATCAAAACTTAATATTCAAAAATCAATTCTGAAATTCACCTTTTCGTTGGTCTAAAAGCGTTTTTTATAAAGTTCTTGTCGTAAAAACGTTAACAGTAAATAAAAATGCACTCCAGTATATTCCATATTGCTAAACTCGAGCGCTTCAAATTTGAATTTGAAGTGAAATGCTCAATTTTGCAATGATATTTTATTCTACACGATTTACACCATCCTTAGTTTACAAGGCCTTTATATTGATTACAAAATTAAATTATTTTTTAATTTGAATTTGTTTGCTTGTATTCACAATTAATAGCGGCAATAATATATGCGCCCACTAGCGCTTCACAATATGTATAGGGCGAATACGAAATAATTGGCCAATAATTGTTTGAGAGTGATCTTATCGGTTAAATTTCTTTCTATATCTTAAAATATTTAATTAAATATAAATAAATTATGGTCAAATTTATTCTTTTTAAATTAATATCCATATATTCCAATTGAATTAATAAAACTAATTAAATTTCTATGAATTCTATTACAAAAAATGTGAAATTCTATTACAAAAAATTCATATATAAAAATATTATTTTAGATCTATATAAAAGGTATTTCATAGGTATTCAATTTTTATTTTCAATTTTTAATTAAATTAAATTTAAAATGTTTTTGATTTTATTTACAGGTTACCACATCGACTATAAATCAACAATCATTACAAAAATTTGCAACATGCCTTCAAAATATTGCACAATTATTAGAGTGTCCAATATGTCTTGAGGTAAGAGAAACTAATACAATATTTAAAATAGGAAAATATTTGAGTCTTTATCAAAGTCAAGTTTTTCTTTATTTTGAACTAAGAATTGAGAATCTCGGACACTTAAATGTGTTGAAATAACAAAGATTTTTGAAACAAATTCTAAAATTTCTATATTTTAGTAATTTAAATTTGGATCTTTTTATTATAGCACGCATTCTTTCAACATTTTGTTAATTTTTTGTACTATAGGGTTTTCTATTTAGTTTGAGGTGAGTCGGGAACACTTTAAATTGAAAACATATGAGATTTTTATCTGGATTGCATTTGTGTATAGGAAAGTGAAAATTTTATTTTTTTTTACATATTACTTTCTGATAAATCACTATAAATAATTTTTTTCTTTTTTAATTCGGATGAATTTACTTTAATTATTTAGAGAGTTTTGTAAAATAATTGTGATTTTGATTTTATTTTTGGTTAATACCTTAATGAATATTTTAATTTGTAAATTGGAAACAAATCAATAAAATTATGTTTTCTTCTTTTAATCTTAAATATTGTTAAAAGTTGTATGGTTTTTCATACATATGTATTTTTACATACATGATAACATGTGTAATGTACATGTCTATTCATAATATTGTTATACTATATCTTTACAATATTTATGTATATGAAATGTCCATTTAATTTTCAAAAAAAGTCAAACAACATATTGATAGCTTTCACATATATATAAATGTGGAGATGTAAGAGAGTAAAAAGTTCTTGAATCCCCAAAACAATAAGAACAAATTAGAAGCAGTAATTTTACACACAAGATTTTATACGCACATAATTTTATTGACCAACATTTAAAGCAACATAAACAATATTAAAATAAAACGATAACCTGACTAATTTAGCAACTTTAGCGCGAAAACGCGTAATACATAATCACATCCTGAAAATTGGAGAACTGAAACCCTAATATTTACTGAGCAGAAAGTAAGTTAGTGTCATCTATTTCGTATAAAGTAATTTGCAAGTGAGAACTTTTTCTTATTCCCAATATAATTTATAAAAAATTTAGGTACCATTCATTCAAATTGACTTTAAAGATCACAAGTTTACTCGATATTTTGAGAAAAATTGAGAAAATTTGGTAAAAAAAATAAATCTTATAGGAACAATTACATGTTCAATTAAAAAAAACGAGAATTTCGACATGAAAGTGAATAAAAATAGTTACTGAAAAGCTGCCTAGTCATATATCTCGCCCTTTTATTTAATTTTTATTCATCTTCAAATCAGAATTCTCTGTTTTTCTAATGGATATCTCAGCTTTCCAATAAGATTACTCATTTTTTCAATTGGAATTTTGCATTTCTTCACAAATTATTGATTGAACTTCTTACTTTCAAAAGCAAATTTTGAAAATTTAAAAAAAAACGACATACGCAAAACCAAATAATTCTTCCCACTCGAAAATTCCATTATGTCACTAGTTATTCACTTCCTTCTCACTTGCCGAAATAGACGATCAGGCTATTGATCGGGCTGTAAATTGTTCTCTATTTAGTGAGTATTCTATAATGATTTTATATCAGTCAGCATTTTTGATTTTCAATAAAATATCTATTTTTTCTTCACATCATAGCAAATTAACTCTTTGATCGATTGAAATACCAAATTTCTATAAAATCAAATAAAATTTACTCTGCCATAGCTAAAATTCTAGTTACTTGAGTGATTTCAATCATTTTAGTAATTTTAAGCCTGTTTTTTTACCTTTTTTTTCAAATTAAAAAATACAAGTGATGAAAAATTAATTGTTTTTTAAGGAAGATACGCTGCACTCCTGAAATCTTTAAATTTTCTACTTGCCATCTCTTAAAAATATCATTATCGTGTTGTAAACATTATAAACGAAGTATAAAACTTTTAGAAGAACTGAAACATTTTTTCTTATATATAAAAAATTTCAATTTCAATATTTTTTTAAAAAATAAAAAATTTCATTGAAACAATGTGGTTTCTAATAATCTTGTCTAATTCAGATCTTCCTTGAATTTCAAAAAGAAAATAAAAATATAATATCCTTATGAAAAGAAATAAGAACAACAATAATAATAACAAAAATGCAATATACAAAAAAAAAAATTTAATTTAATTTCAAATATTTTTATATTATGGTAAATTTCATTGAATTTAAAGAAAATTCTTATTTTTTTTTATAAAAATGAACAAAAAATAAAATTAATAATTCAGAAATATTTGCAAAAAAAATTTGTATTATTATTAAAGATTTGTGCAGAGATTCTTTTTATTGAATTTTCAACATAATTGAAATGGAAAAATATTAAAAAAAAAATTTTTTTCCAATATTCATTGATATTAAATAAATTCAATATATTTGTACATTTTATATATATATATATATGTTTACATATGTATAAATAAAATAATTTTTTTTTTTAATTAATTGAATAATATTTGTGTTAAGATGTTGTGTGTGATATGAATTTTTTATAATAAATTTGTCATTTTATTTTTTCTTTTATTATTTTTGTAGTAAAACATAAAAAATTTATGTTTGATTACACCCCCAATATAATTTTATATTTCAAAATACATGTGTGTATGTGTGCATAACTATAATAAAATACAATTTATGTAAAATATAGGTGATACAAATAAATTATAGTATAGTTTTAATAGGCAATAACTCTTATTCCAAACAATCTGTATAAGATGAAATAAAATTGCCTGAATTCATTCGAGTAATAATTAAGGAAAGGCAATCGTATCATACATATTAAAATATTTATAAATTTCAAAGACAATTCTGAAGCGAATTTTTCAAATGGCCACCACCTCATTTCATCATTTGAAATATTAATTTTAAATTCAATTTAACTCTATAATTTTAATTTATACCAGCTTACTGTTTAAATTCTTCCCTTTAAAATGAAATTCTTCTAATAAAATTAATCGCAGTTTCTATCCATTACATCAAAAGCAACCAAACATTAATACTCCCGAAGTTCAACTCCACAATTTTTATTATTCGTTTTCTGTTGTATACGACTGTATGAAACACTCCAGTTAAGTACAATCAAACATTTTGTTTCCAAAAATATTGAAGCCAAAAAAATTGATTGATAATTTTTTGGAAATTATTTCTTCAAGATTGCATTCCAGAGAAAAAAGTAAATTCTCGTTTAATACTTTATACTTTAAATATTGCATAAATTTAGGATTTTACTTAATTTTTTAGTTATTTTTTACAATGTAATTTAATTTAGAAAAAAAAATATTTAATTTTAATAATTGATTATTTATTATAAGAAATTGTTTTTTATTTTTTTTTTTTATTTTTGCTTTCAATTTAATTGAAATATGTGCAATCTTTCTTATTTCTGTACAATACAATTTATTATAGCCATATAGATTTAAAATATATAAAATTATTATTTACTATAAATAATATTGAATTGATATTTAAAAAAATATTTTTAAAATATATTAAAAATATCGAATAAATTTCATTGAATTTAATGAATTATTTACAAATAGTTCAATATCATAATTAATTAAGAAGAATTACCCAAAGTTTACATAGTATATTTAATTGAGGTTTATATTTTGAATTTAAAATTATTGCCATTTTCATTACTATTTTAAATTTCAAATTTATTTTGGCCTTGATTACATGAAAATTTTTTTTAAGAAGCCAAGATTTTCTTTTACTACAATTTTAAAATTAAATATTAGTTTGACTTAATGCAACATATAGATCCTTGAAAATTTCAATGCCGCATCGTCATAAAGTGTATAACAAAATTATATTAGATTTGTGTTATAAAATTCTATTAAATGTCAAAACAAATCCACTCACATTACAATTATTTTAAAGATTTTGTTTTGTTCTAAAAATTTTCTATTATAAAATATTTTAATGCTCTATTCCTCATTTATGGTATCGACATGACATGCTTCATACAAAAAAAAGTTCAGAAGAGGTTTGTGTTCTGTTTTGTCATTTTTTTAATTTTAATTTCCTTTTTAACTTTTATAATAAGCTCATAAAAACTAAGTGTATTAAAGTGCTCTTGTTTATTTAATTCATTTATTTTAAGGTTATGTTGTAAAAAAACATATAAAATTTACATTAATTTTTAATTTCTTATAGTGTTCATTTAATTTCTTAAGATTATGAGTGTTTGTTTTTTGTTTTTATATATTTTCTTATATTTTTTTATAACGTACACACACACTTACACATTTGTTGCATATCCTGTTGTCTTAAGTTTCCTTTTTCTCTTAAAAATTTTCTTCCAATTTTTTTAATGTTAATTTGTTTTTTCTATTTAATATTTTTAGGTTATAAAACCACCTGGATGGCAATGTTGTAATGGTCACGTATTATGTAATAGCTGCCGTAATCGTTCAGTTAAATGTCCCGTATGTCGTGTACCATTTGGTCCAAGAGGTCGTTGTCTTTTATCTGATAAATTATTTACTTTATTGGCAGAAACTTTTCCTTGTGATGGTAAGTATATTTATATTATACTTTATAATTTTATGTTATACACACATATGTAGCACATATTCATATTCATATTCATATGAGAGTTTACAAATCAACAAAAACAAGCACTATAATAGTTTATGTTAGTGTCTATAGATTTTCATACAAGATACACATAAAATAATGTAAATATAGAAAAAAAGTCTTAAAATGAATAAAAAGGAAGGAATTTTTTTTTATTTGAGAGGACATCCTTATGAGAATGCAAAAGGATACAATGAACATATATATATGTAATACATGCACATATATTGGACTTCTACTTCCATATTCTAAGAAATATTTTTAGAATAGCTTCTTTCATATTCTTGAATCATAAAAAAATTTTAAAACTTAAAATAAAGTTTAGAGCAAAAACAAAAAATTTGTACTTAAAAGTCCTTCACAAAATTAATATTTTAAATGATTCAAGATTCATGTATGTGTTCTACAAATAAATAAAAAAAAAAAAAGTTTTCAATATTTATTTTTCAGTTTTTTCGTCCTTCTTTGTTTTTTTTTTTCTTTTATGTTTAATGATAGTTAAATTAAATTACATTTTATTTTTGTTTCAATTTAATGTTTTTTATATGCATTTTTCCTTAAAATTTTCTTTTGCTTGTTTTTAATTTTTAAATCTTTTCAAGTACGTGATACAATTAAGGATAAGTGATATTATACATATATGTAGATATATAAAAATCAAGGAATTGATATTATTTATTTACAAAATCTAGAGAAATTCTGCCTAACAGTATTTAAATACACACACTTATAAAAGATAAAATATAATTTTGAAAATTTTGTACAAATTATCAAAATTACTTATAATGTTTCCTATATAATTTTTAATAAAAATGTTGATTGAATTTGATTTATGTTATACAATTATGAATCTAAAAATTATTACAATTCTGCTCATCATTTACATAGTGACAATCATGTATTACAGAATTCACTCTTCATGACAGGGAGTTTTGCACTATTTAAACTATAATTGAAAAGAAGTTAATGTTTATTTGTGTATTCTGTACTTATAAATTTTTTTTATAAAATGAGCAACCCAAAAAGATCTATGATGCTCAATGAAGATCAGTAAAATAGAATCTAAAAGTATATACATAAATAAAATTGCATTCATAAGGGAAATTTCCAGAAATTTTTGCAAAAAGTACGGTGAATTAGGAATTTATAATTCGAATTAAGTAATTGCATACATTTGGGATGAACAATATGTTTTAGTTGTTTTTTTGGCACAGTGAAATTGAAAGAAAAAAAATTGCATACATTTCGTGTAATTCTTTCATAATTTAGTTGGTTTAAACCAAATAAATATTATTGCATACATTTAGGGTATAAACTTCTCTTAACAATTGAATTATAAAGAAAAAATGACATACTCATATTTTCATAAATGTGGTATACCATTGTATACCACATTTATAAATAACGTTGTTGATATATTTTGTTTATAAACATTGCTGCTAAAAATGCAATAGATTGGTTTATTCAACTGTTTTGCTGAATTGAACTTTTGTAGAATAGTGAAAAAAATTGCATATCATTATGGATGTTTTCGCAATATTGCGTTTTGCAGTGTGGTTATGAAAATCTCTAAAATAAATTGAAAAGCAATTTTTGTTTTGGAATATGAATTAATAAATTTTTCTATAAAAATTCAAAACTAATTTAATTTATATTAAATTAAGCCCGTAACTTATTTAATCCATTAGAATTACTTTTTAGTCCTGAATTTACTATATTTCAAAATATACGGTTTTGCTCTCATAAGAGTCATTAAAATAAATAGTTTTTTGTTTTTCTCAAAAACATGAAGATTGATAGAAGAATATGGAGGCAATGCTGCTAATAAAAATTTCTTTAATTTTTAAATAAACAAGATTCATAAAAAAATTACATACTTACACAACATATGTACATATATGTAAACGTAAACATTTTATAAACAAAATATACAATTTTTTTTTTGTTTCTCTAATATCAAATAAATCCTGTTTTTTCCTTTTATTTGTTAAGGAACTAAAAATGGTAGTAATAAAAATGGACGATGCCCACCGGAAAATATTAAAAACAAAAAATGCAATATTTCAAAGAAAATAACATCAATAGAATCACCTCTACCTTCAGTTACACAAACACTTACCGAAATGAGAAATCCACTTGTCAATACAAGTAATGAAAATAATTCAATAACAACATTTGGGACAACAAGAATAATTAAAGTTGGTGAAGAAGTACGAACATCACCAATAAAAACTCGAAATAATCAAAATACATACGATAGAATCCCTCAAGAACTAACAACAACAACGATACCAGCAATTCCGTCTACAACTTTTCAAACAAGATCTATTGAAACAAACCATCAACCATTAATTGTAAACAGAAAATATTTGGAACCAATTCAAAACATTTCTACTACTGCCACTACTACTACAGCTTTATTACCACATACAACAATTGTTCCTTTATCACCAGTATTATCAACAACAATAACAACAAATATTATTGAAAAAATTGAACCGCTACCAATGCATATGACTAATAATATTTCATGTATGAGTTCAGGATCAACAGAAATAGCAGTTAATTCAAATCTCAAAGGATCTACAGAAAACAAACTTGAAAAACAAATTATAACTTTAAAGGTTAAATCAAAATCTTCAGAAAATCTAAATTTTTTTAGAGTAGAAAAAGAAACAAAAGAATTAGAAGAGAGAAAAGTGAAAGAAACATTATCACTGCCAGCATCACCGGTATCTAATTTAGTTAATTCAAAAAAAAATTCTAAAATCACCACAAAAATGTCCCCAGGATATGAAACGTAAGTTGAAATTTATGTAAGTGTATAACAAAATTTTCTTTTTAATATTGAATTATTTTTTAAGTATATGTGGAAAATGTAATAATATTTTTTTTTCATTTCGGGTCAGAATTTTTTCACTTCTTTCTGATTTTCTTCAGTAAAAATTTTGTATTGCTTAAGTAATTGCGGTTGCTTTAAAAAGTTATTTGCAATTTAATAAAATTACTTTATAAAAAGTTCTCTTAAATTTTTAAATTCGAAACATGAATTTGAAATTTTAGTTGAGGGCTAAACGTTACTTTTCAATATTATTTGTCAATTTTCGAATTTTAAGTTTTAAAAGTTGCTATAAAATATTATTAAAAATTAATTACATTAATCAGGCATCTCACTAGTTATCTTATAAAATAAATAGAAAAAGATTTTCAGTAACATTTCTTAATGAACCATGCACAATATTTCGGGATTTTAATTACAAAAAGGACAGGTTTTTAATATTGCAAGAAATTTTGTAAATATTAAGAGTCTAATGTGACCTTCACATTAGACTCTTAATATTTAGTCCAGAACAAAGGAAGTTGATAAAATATTTGAAAGGAACGCTTAAGCTCAAAAACTTTTGACTAGCTATTAAATGACAATTTGAGTCTCAGGCTCTGGCCCTTTTCAAAAATTTCCTTTTGTCAAAGAACGGACAGAATTAGTTATATTAGTTAGTAAGCATATAAATATTTGCTTCTAGATACATATAAGAAAAATATCCTAAGACAAGAAAAAAATGTTTTGAAAATTTTATAGGAAATCACCTTTTTTTCTTTGTTTTTTTTTAATTTTTTTAATTTACTTTAAATCTTAAAAAAATTTCTTATTTTTTTCTTCATCTCACATTTTTATCCAGATTACTGCCGACTACAACAAATACCAAACAAATAAATGATAAAAATGATATTGAAGCTACTGTTGTATGCCCATCACTTTCTTTATGGTTAAATTTTATACAAGAACATAAAAATTATCATTGCTCAACTGGGAAATCAACTTGTATTATTGACAAAATTGATGAAATTTTTTCAAATTCAACATCAAAATATTGTCATCAAAAATATTGTCATCAAACGGCAAAAAAATTATTAAGGACAACGATGACGAAAACGGTACCGATGACGACTACAAAAACAACCTTGAATCAAAAATTATTAGAAAAAAATTTAGAACAAAATGATAAAATAATTAATAAAAAAATATTCTCTTCATATAATGATGATGAAAAACAATTTCAAAATTTTAAATTAGATCAGGAAGATCAATTAATAAATTTTCCAACCAAAGAAGAAATAATTAATAAGAATTTAAATTCTGAATATGAAATAGAATGACAGAGAAATTTTTTTTGAGAATGTTATTTGTACTTATGTGCTCTTTAATAATGTAAACTGAAAAAATTTTAATTAAATGTAATGGTGCTAAATTTAAGTTATAATAGTGTGGTTTAATCAAAAAAAAATTTTTTTTTCAAGTCCATATTACTTTTCATCATAATCATCATCCTTATCATCAGAATTATAAAAATTTCAATTTCTGCATAATGAAAAGGACATTAAACAAGTTCATTGAAGGATATTGAACCATTTGAAACAAAAATGGAAAAAAACTGAAATATCCTTATGTACACGTATGTCAATATCATTGTGGTTTCGATGAAATATTTTCAATCGATATGAATTTTGTTGAATAATAAATCTAATATTTTTAGATTTATTAGAATTGATAATGATTACATACAGCAATATGATGAATAATAATAATAATAACGATATTGCCACTAAAATATAACTATCTCTAATATAAATACTGTTATATTTGATACAAAACAATTTATTCAAGTTTTATATAAAATTTGTTCATCCTGAATGATATTCAAAAAAAAAAAAATCACTTTTGAATTATGTACAGCACCGCCTCCAGAATTATCAATATCATTTTTTTTATATTATTATTGTCATCATCTATTGTAATCATCGCACGAATTAAATTACCGTCAACTGGGAATGACACAAAAAAAATCTTATTTTTCATATTTTATATAAGATATACAAAATAAAAATCATAAATTCAGCAATATTTGTTTATGATTGTGTACAAGATGACAACAATTTTACTATATTATACACTGAATAGAATTAAATTAAAAGACCATCAAGTATTTTGTTACAAGATATTGTAAATATGATTGATTAAATTCCAAAAGTCGAACTGTTTAAGTTCAAATTGAGAAATACACGTGAAAAAATTTAATTACTTGCATGATATTATTAATAAAATATTACATTATGAGTAAGATTTTACAGGGATCTCAAATTTAAATATCTAGAATTTACAAAAATTAATGCATATAAAATATTTTATTAAATTCATAACTTTTTAGCTTTAATTCAAGATAAAAATATTAAAAACACTCGATTTACTAAACATATTTTTTAAAATTTCAATTCTATTCTTTTTTGAAAAATTGAAATTTTCAAAATCACCTTTTTAGCATAATTCTTTCAAATTCATTTGAATATAAAACTCCAATCTATTGAGTGAAAAAAAGAGCTGTTTTTTGTCTAAAAATTCATTGTATAAAAAATCCCCGTTGATATTCGTAGTTTTAGTAATTGTAATAAATGTAAAAATATATGCAAATACAATTGTAAATTCAAAAATATTTCAAAAACAAAAAAAAAATTTATCTCTCCGTTGATAAAAAAGGCACACAATTACAGCATAACTATACAGATTTTACTTTGTAAGCATCGAAGAATTATTTAATAAAAATGCAAAAATTATTTTTGCACCTGACGACGACTCAATATAACAATATCGACAAGTAAAACAGAATGTTAACAATAATAGTAAAAATCTAACACTATTTGACTTCCGGCTAAATTTTTTTTTCCTATAGAATATTGTATAATAACTATAGAATATTGTATAATATTTCTGTTCATGACTTTAATACACAAAAAACCAAAGTAATATAATATTATTAGTTCGCCAGTATATTTGTATGTAGATAACTGTGTAAACTTACATTGAATTCAAAGTTCATAACTTTCAACATGATTACCTTCATACTCATACTAAATACGTACACACTACTATAACGAAACAAACCATTGCATGTCATAATCATCATCATAAAAAGCAACAATGTTATAGAGAAAATTTCGAGGAAAAACTATTTGGAAAATCTTGAATGTAATCAAGATGATATTGTTGATAATATTTTTGTAACATTATTATATAACAAGAACAACTCAGTAGCCGTTTTCAAAATCACATTGATGACAATTTTTTTTTTGTAAATGTGGTTTTTTTTTCTACATTTTTATTGTATTTTGTTCTCCTAGCTGTATAAAATTTATAGAACGTGCTGATATAAATCTCTTGATAAAAAAAAATATTGAATCAATGGAGGAGAAAAAGTTCTACGAATTGTAAATTTAAAAAAAGAAGAAAAAGAAATCTGTTCGACAATAACAAGAACAACAACAGCAAGTTTACATAATATAGTAATATCCTGGGGACCTCAACATCATATTACCTGTAGCAAAAACATCCTTTAAACTTAAAAATACATAAATAAATTTAAAAAAAATTTTACCTGATGATAAAATTATAATAAATTTTTACTATATATTTATACAAATGTTTAACTTATATTTCTTGCTCCATTATTACTGTATATAAGTTTGTAATTGTAATTGCACTGAATTAAAAAAAAATAAGTTTATAATTTCGATAAAAAACAAGAGAAAAAAATAGGAAAATTTAGGTATTGTGGCAATGATTACGAATTGAATGTAAACGAAAAACTTCCGGGCTGTGATTGAATGTTGCAATATTATTTAAAAAAAAAAAACAAAAATAAAACGTGATAATGATGCAACTCACATTATGCATATTGATGATAATTGATAATAAAATTGGAACATCAAAAATTTTAATATTATTTTGGAATCCTAACAAAAAATTTTAAATGATTACTTGCATATATGAATATAGGAAAATATCTACACATTTAAGTCAAATAATAAAAACGTACTCACATTAATTTAGGTTACGAAAAATTATGCACATTATATACGCATTAAGAAATCTTAAAAATATTTTTATTAAAATTTTGTTTTGATTTTTATTGAAATTTCATTTATTATTATAAAAATAAATTGCATATTTAGAAAATAATAAATCTGGTCAATTTTTTTCTTAAACTTCGATTAATCCCAGTAATAAACCCAAACTAATTGATGGAAAATCTTAGTAAACCTTTTGTAGTAATTGAATAATTGTAAACATTACAACATTTCAATATAAGTAAGTAATTTATTTATTTCAAAGTCAATATAACAATAGCTCGAATACGGTGCTAAACATTTAACAGATTTGTATAAGTAATAGGCAATTGGCAAATCAAATTCTAAAATATGAATTAAAAATTAGGTAGGTATGTAAAGCGTAATTGGAAATTACATACATACATTAATTTTTATAAAAATTTTAAAATTAAATAGAATCGTTTTAAGGAATAAGGTAGATATAGCCGCAAGTAGGCTTTTCGATTTGAATCTATAATAATCAAAATTTTGGAATAGGTGATTGCTAAACAATATTATTTATAAGACATTTTCATAAAAAATTAATAACCCATTTATTTGAACGACATATGTAATTCTACTATACTAACTGTAAAATGACTAGTCTCTTTAAGCATGATCCAAGCCTTTTATAGTCTAGTAAAATATTTGTACTTAGGAACATCATTGATATTGTAATTTTCCGAAAAAGCTTCATTCACAAGGAACTACAAGTGTGCAAGTAAGTAAGAGTAATTATTAATATTATTAATACATGCAATGATAAGAATAAAGTAACATTAAGTAGATAGGTATGTACTTACATTGTTGTGTCCATTTAATATGCTTAGGTGTGTGTATCCTTATGTAAGTTATGTGCATCTCCATGCATTATTTTAATCTTGATATTAGTATTTTTGATTACCAAGGTGAAGGATAACAAAATTTATGGTGTGCAAAATGTATTGTTCAATTTGAATTAATATATGAAGGACCTCGAATTTCAATTTTATTTGCAAAATTTAATACCATTTTAAATTAAATTTACTTAAGAAGAATTTACTAAAATTTAAATAACGAAAAATCACTATTTGGAAAAACAAAATTCTTTTAAAAAATTAAATAAAAAATTAACAAATTCAAAAAGAAACAACCAAGCATTCTAATGTACGTAATTTGAAGTTTTGTACTCAAAAGAATATTGATTCTCGAAATTTTTGATTCTCGATATTTTCGCTAGGTAGAATTCTCGTTTTGTGTAGATCAAATGTGTACGCATTGAAGTTTAATTTATATTACGAGTATGTCAACAACAAAATATTTTACAGTCAAAAAATTGAAAAAATGTGAACATTAATTTGAAGCAAAAAGGGATAAACTTAATCTAAAAATAAGATCTTCATAAAATCAAATTATGTGCATTAATTGTTATTGATTTTCCTTTAATTTTTCCCTAGAAATATGAAGTTATAACAATTTTGAAAATTAGTAAATAAATGCAAAGTGTAAACAAGTTTTTTTCTATTGGTGAATATTCATTTCATATTTAGAATGAAATTGTAAAAAATTCTCTACAATTAAAAATCATTGCCACTAACACTACTACATCATTCATATGGCGCCGCAAAACAGCTGATTCTATTTACATTTTTACAATAAGCAATGAACTCCCAATGTCATTTTTCGGTGATCAGTGAATATGTAGTAGTGATTTGGTTTTTAATAGCATGTGTAGCCAAATTTTATTCTTTTGATAAAAATTCTAAAAATTTTATTTTTAATTTTAAAAGTCATTAATGTGATATTGTAACCTTTTTTATTTTATAAATTAAAGGAACAATGCTCTCTGTTTTTTATACAAAAAATATTTAAATATTTGACAAATTTTTTAAATTTTTAAGTAGTGTAATTAAATTGATGTAGATTTCATACCTGCCAAAAAGTGTTCAATATATTATACACCTGTACCACTTAATGCAAAATTATAAACGCAGTATAAAAGGAATTATAAAATTATATAGGATAATAGATCATACCTGGATTTTTACATTTAAAGATTAAAAGGTGAGTTGGTATTCATTGAATTTATGTGGTTATCTATGAAATTTATCTATGTTTGAATGTCAAGTTCTTTTTTAGTGCTTATATTTGTTGGCATACCATTGAAAAATTACTTAAAGAATAAACAGTCCATACTGGATTCATTGTCTTTATTTGAAATTCAATAATTAATTTTATGAATTAAAATACCTAAGTACTTGGATAAAGATTCCGGTGATGTGATCTCCCCACACATTTGGAGGAAAGTGTAAAATAATGTAGGATGTTCGTTAAGTGTATGTGCACTTATTTTTTTAAAAAACCAAATAACTGTAATGAGTGTAGCATTTAAAATAGAACAAAAGCAAGATAATAGCAAATCGAATGAGTGTGGCCATTCGGATTTTGAAATATTCCGTTTAAAGGTTAATGTGAAATAAGGAATTTCATGCGTAAGGGATAACACAATTATAAAAGAGAAACACACCATTCCTATACTATGATATTTTAATAGAGGTACGTTATATGTAGTTCTAAAGTCAATTACTTTGTGATTCAATTAATATTGTTTTATTAAAATGAATAAATTCTCAAGAAAATGTGCTTTATTTTAGATCGTGTACAATGAAAATTTCAAGTTGATTGAGAGATAAGAAACCATGCTTCCGGGTGATACGTTGTTTGTCAGAACATTAAACCGATAGAAATTAAATATTTTGATTTTAAAAGCTCTATTTGGTTTATTATAAAGCAGACAATAAAAACCTTTATAAGAGATAGGCTACCGTTTTTGAAAAATCAGTAATAAATATAAGAACGCTAATAAAATACATGCTAGAATTGAGTAGTCCAAAACTTTTTAAAATATTCATAATAAACTTTTAAGAGATTTATTGTTATAAGTGTTTAAAATAACACTTTTATATTTATTAAAATAATTTTATCATTCAGGTTTTTCTTAAAATAAATATTATTGAAATATTTTGTTATAGAGAATGTAGTGTCTCATACAAGTAATCATAAGTTTATTAAGCACAACAAATACTTTGTTATATTAAATTTTAATTTTGATAATGTTGTATTAAAAGTTTAAAGGACACCAAATTGTGAGGTCGTTCTAAATGGTTGAATAGTAAATTTAACAATAGAAAAAAGGGAACCTACTTATTATTAAATCAAAAGCTTTTTCTTGTCTTTTTTATGTAATATTTTAAATATATTTTATTCTATAACAAACTATTGGCTGCAATAATTAAAATAATTTTTGTTTTCATATAGGTACATTTATGTAAATTCATAATATACGGGTGGGATCCGCTTAATAATCAATTTAAGTACTTAAATTTTCCAAAAACATAGTATTGTTTTGTCTAGCCTATTTTACAATAGTTTCTTTTAGTCCGTTGCTTTTCACCACGAATTATACAAGATAATAATACGGAAATAAAAAAAAAGGCATTCTATATTTTAGTAATGAAGACCAATATAGTTCTGAAAATTTAATGGTTTATTTAATCCGATATTCAACGGCTTATAGTATTTTATAAGTGATTTCCGCATTTAAAAGAATTTTATTGAAAATTTTAAATCTAGATAATTCATTCATAGTTTAAATACTGCGATTATTTTGTGTACATTGTAGTATTTTACAAATTATTTACATATATTCAATTATTAATGTACAAATTATATTAGTTGCTTAGGTATTTTATGTGTTTAATTACTTTAAAATGTTTTTTAAAATGACTTATATTCAGTTTTTTTGATCATATATAATCCAAACAGTTCTCTGTTTAAAAAGGCTCAACAATATTTTCATTTTAAATAAAATTTATATTAAATAAATTCTATTAAGATCAGCTATAGACTTATAATAACGCATCAGCATAATGAGAAATAGTGTTGCAAATTTAAGAAACTTTACGAATTCAATATTATAGACTGGATTTTTTAAAAATTGGCGCCGAAATTTATTTTTTCAGTTCAAAAATTCTTTTTGATTTTTTTTTTTAGTTGTTAGTTTAGTTTATTTTCTTGTATATATTTTGTTATTGAAATTGCAAAATAAAAAGTATATTTACAAAATAAAAGCAAGAACTCTTGTAGCATTACGTCTGATACGTCTGATTGTGATATAAAGCAAAACGGAATTGATAATGTTCTTATTTCAAAAAACAACTAGTAGTAAAGTAAAAGAAAAAGTAAGGAAGTATTAAGGAAATTCTCAAATAAATTTTTAAGCTATCTTGAAAAAATATTTGTTTTTCAAATAAAATTGAAATTGTATATTTAGTAATAGTATAACGACATGCATTGTAATATATTTTAATATGTACGTATTTCCATACATTTTGATATATAATATTTATTAAGCGCATAATGTGTTTTTAGGGTGTATGCAACGCAAAACAAAATTTTTAAAAACTTAATTATTGCGTGCTACTATAGATATTTTTACTGCCGCAACGATGTCTATGGTAGCAGGCTTCTCATAAGAACAATTAATTTTCTAAACATATAATATCAAACCACTTAGTTTCAGAGCCGACGTTTAAAAAAAAATAAAAGGGTTAGTTAGGAATATTGGTTAGTAAGTCGTTTACTAAAAGAAAACTCCTACATATTCTTAACATGTTTTACAAGAGTTTTTTAAAATAAAGCTTTAAGATTTATTTAGAGAATCTTAACGTTATTTGAACTATTTTCTACGATAGAACTTTGTATATTCGCAAAACGTCCCACGTCATATCATAGTAAGTACTTACTTTCTATCGAATCGATGATTTAGAATGCTTGTCTATGATTCTAAGAATATTTTCAGTTCCCGATCATATACACTTAATTTTTTAAATTATTGAAAAAGCGCATGCTAAATTTACATTGTCTTTAACATTAACATTTTTATTTTCAAGCAAAAAATTTATAAATATTAAAATAAATGCAGTAATTGCAAAATTAAAATTAAATCTAAAGAATATGGTACTTTTCATATAAAAGCATAATACATACATACATATATGTATATATGAATATATATAAGTATACTCACATCCACTTAAATCCTCGTAAGAAAAGAATATAAAAATATCCATTACAAACTCATTGCATCTATTAAAAAAAAAAAACAATGTAACAATATGGCGTAGAAAGTTCAAGTAGATATAAAAATTAAGATTAAATATTATTAAATTTCACCATTCTAAGAAATTCATACACATACATATATGATGTACAGCAATAGAACATTCAGTCAGCCGCGGGTATTTTTTTCATCATCGTTTTGTTATCCTGTCAATGAACTTAATGATAAAATTGTTCTTGTTCTTAGCTCATTTCCATATTAAGTGAGAAGCATTCATATACAAACATATATACCAAATATATGTACATATATATACATATGTACATATGAGTAGATAAATTATATGTATGTGCTTAGACAAATATATTAAAGAAAATAATTTGATGGTGTTTATAATAGAAAAAAATCTTGGTTACTAAAATGATGTGGAAAATAAGAGAAAATTAAATGAAAAAAAATGAAAGTAAAAATATTTGAATCGGTACGTTTTTAAATTGAGCAGAGCGGCTCCGATCATCTGCTCTTCTTATTTCTGAAATTATTGAAAATATTGACAATTGGAGCAAGAAATATTTAAAAATTTCGTACTAAAATTTTTATTATTCTTGCGGTAAAGACTTTAATTGGTATTATTTTAATCGTTTATTTGAAATTCTGTCATTTTTGGGCAGTGGTTTCGATTGATTCTTCTTGATTTCTATAAACAAGATTTGAGTTTTTCAATCGCCATTATTGTAAGGTTCAATAATTCTCTATTACAAATTTTTTTGAAATGCTTGTTCTTTAATTTTTATGCCGTTCAGTTGAAGACAAGCCCATCTAAGCACAAGTAGAAATTTGATTGAATTTTCAATATGAATATTATGTAAGTCGATTAACATCCATCGAACAGTTTATGAGAAAAATTTAGCTATTTTTCAGATCTCTTAGAAAAACCAATATTTACTTCTGAGCAAATGTTTTTTTCGAAATCCATTTGTATTTTAATTTTTAGAAAACCTTCTATTAACTAGAAATTGTAACTTGTAGTTTGTAATAGTTGAAAATTGTAGAAAATCTGAGATTATTTAAAAACTAAAATAAAAGAAAAAAAAATTTACATGAAACTCTCATTTGGTGGAAATGAGAAAATTACAATTTCGCCTCTGGTCATTTCTAATAGATATTATTTTTTTTCTCCCTCATTTTATTGTAAAATTGTTTCTGATTCTTGTCTATGCTTCACAATTTTCCTTTTTGTTTTTTTTATATTTCAGTTTTAGTTTTCATTGTGTATTTGTTTTTTTTTTTTTTTTTAATGAAAATTAAAAATGAAAATAGTTTCGGCAAGTTTTCCATTTTAAATGCATAACAATGGATTCTAGTGATAATATACAAAACAAAAAAAAAACATGAAAACTTGGAAGAAAAAAATAAATTGAAAAGAAATCCAAAAGTAGTTCAATTTCACTTAATTTCGCTGCTTATTCTTGAAATTCATTTGATATTTAACAATATTCTTCTTTTTCTATTAACTGGAAAACCATACATGTATATGTAGTATACTGAATGCATTAAAAATGACATTCATGGGTTCACTCGCCCGTTTATCTAGATGAACTTAAATTCCATTAAGTACAGAAATTCAAAATATAGCTTAGATCATCTAATGAAGAAATGCACTTATACAATATGAAGAGATCTCTATTAATTGAATTGTATTACTCTTATATACACCAATGAAAATGTTTTTTTTTTATAAAATGAGGTCAAAGACTATTTTCGTTTGCATCTACAAATACATATGTATGTGAAAATCAAGATTTCATTTTCCTGTGTTCTAAATTCTTTGCATTATTAAACACGTATTTATAAGTCGAATTATAGAGAATTTTGATGGTATTTTATTAAAAAATTTTAATTTTAGTTAGAGGAATTTGTATTTTCCAATTTAGTGAGAGGAATTTTAAAAATTATAAGAAGAAATTCATTTTAAATGTAAAGAAAAATCAGAGAATAAATTGAAAGCCATGGTTAAAGCAGTAATTAAGGATTTTATAACGATTCAAATTATGATGTATAACACACAAGAATCTTTTTAATTTTCTCAAAATTTTAAAGACCCTACTTTTAAGAAATGTTGGAAATAAGTTCTTAGAATTCTTAAATCTTCGAAATTAATGGTACAAATTTGTTTTCAAATTAAGCTTACAAATTTAGTCCCGTCCAAGGATTTTCATCTTCGGCTTACTTTTATTTTCTTAAAGACTCAAAACCGATTTTAATTAAGAATTAATCAAACTAGAAATAATCAAACAGAATTTTTTATAATAAAATAAAGTCAAATTAGACGTATAGGTAGATATTATAGAATTAAGTAACATTTTCTGTAGCTACACTATTTTTGATCATTTCGAAACGGACCAAAAGATGTATGAGCTTGTATTGTATGTAT